GCTAGGTTGCTCTGTAAGTAAGGCTTTTCCCTATTAAATACCCTTATATTTCTACCTGTCTCCGTATTGGTAATTTCCCACTATAGGACAATGGCTATCTGTGGTGCCTATTAGCATACCAGCATACATGCTGGCCTCCAGGAATCCTCAGTATCACAAGTACCTGATACACAGTCCAGAGTCCATGCTAACATCATAGCCCTTCTCACCATAGCCCTGCACCCCAAACTTCCCCAGCTCATGGGTTTCCCTCACCCCCCCCACCTCCAGCTACTCTTTCTCCTTATAAACTTGCTACTTCTGCTATGTTCCCTTTCTTTTGTCATAAAGCTCTTTGTCTTTCCCTCTCAGACTCCCCCTACCCTCACACACTCCTGGTTCTCTCATGGCCAGGTCCAGTCTGCTAGCCTTAGTTTACTATTTTCTCTCTCTGCTAGGGACTCTTCCAGATGTCTCTGGCTATTCTCTTTCTCTCATATCTACAATAAACATCTTCCCTTTAACCATACCATGGAGTAGTCATGTCATCAGTTTATATACATACAAACAGGAGAATCCATGTAATTTGAAGTTGGTCAATTTTTGACTTTTTTGTTTTTGCTGTTGTTGTAAAAGTAATTAGTGTTTTAGTATAGGAATATTCAAAATCAGGACAATAAAATGAAGCAAAAAAAAAATTCACGCATAAAGTAGAATCAAACCACATCCACACAAAACTTCTCTTTTCCTTTGACCTTAGCAAAAAGATGAGAAGCAGTGAAACTACTGTTTTCATTTAGGTAGAATTTCCCTCCATCTTCAGGCTCATCCTTTTTCAGTTGTTTTGTTTTATATCACCATAAACACGATAAAGGAAAATACTCCTAACCCAAAGCCAGGTCCTTAAATCAGGCCCAGAACTGTAAGAAATCTGTTGCCCATAGAATTCAGAAAGTAGCTAACTCCCATCACACACTGTGGGGCCAAGTCATAAAAAAAAATAGGTAATTTGTCTTCATGTCCAATCCTGAAGTTTATATTTTTAACAAAAGCAGTTTCTGGGTCTGGCTTTACCAGGTCCTCCTCACTCCCTACTCTCTACAACAAAAACTTATTCCCAGACCCTGCACAGTGTTCTGCTGTCCCATCTGATACTGAGCCTCAGGGTTTGGGGGTACCAACCTCTTAAACCAATGAAGGTCTGAGATTGTTCTGAGACAGAATAGAAGCTATTCCTTTATTCCTTTCCACTTGATTTATTTCTTACATGTGCTGCAGATAAAGCACCTCATTCCTTCCAATTTAATATACACTTGCTTATATCTTTATCAAGCTATTTTATAATCTGCATAATATATCAATTTATAGCTTGCCACTTTGAAACTAGTAGGCATTTTAAGGAATTTTATTACAAATAGAGTCGTCAAGGTAATGAATATCATGAAGAAGGTGAAATCTGTATATTGCTTCTTCAAACTAAGAAAAAAATATTAGTTTGGGGGCTGGAGAGATGGTTCAGGGCTTAAGAGCAGGGACTCTTCTAGAGGATCTGATTGTTTTGAACATCCTTGTCAGGCAAGTTACAGCTACCTGTGACTCTAGCTTCTGCATCTTCCATACCCACCGAAACATATATGCATAATTGCAATAAATGTTTTTAAAGGAGTATTAGTTTTCAATATTACCCTTTACATTTTTGTTTTAATTGTGGTGGGACAGGCTTGCTTAGCAGAGAAGGTTTGTCAACTCCCAACCCACATGTGGCTCTTTACAATACATAAATGATGTCAGAGAATACAATGGTAAGAAGCAATATGGATTCAACATAATGTCCATGTATATGCTGCATGAAGGAAATCTCAATTCAGTCACATTCCTCAAATGTTTATATAGTAAACCAAATTAAATAACAACAAAGAGAACAAAGATTAAATATCTTCCATATTCATAGGACTGTGTTTCAGCCTGTGGATATGTAAACATTTATTAACAAACTGCTTGGGTTAAAATCTATCTGGTAAGAAAATTATGCAATGGAAAAAAGGAAGCATCTTCAACAAATGGTGTTGGCATAACTGGATGTTGACATGTGAAGAATGCAAATAGATCTACATCTACCACTGTGCACAAAAATTCAAGTTCAAATGGAGCAAAGACCTCAATTTAAATCCAGTTAAATTAACTCTGATAGAAGAGACAGTGGGGAATAGCCTTGAGTACATTGGCATAGTAGACAACTTCCCGAATAGAACACTAATAGCATAGACACTAAGACTGACAATTAATAAGTGGGACCTCATGAAACTGAAAAGCTTCTAAAAGGCAAAGGTCATTGTCAATAGGACAAAATGGCAGCCTACAGAATGGGAAAAGATCTTCACTCCACATCCAACAGAAGGCTGATCTCCAAAATATGTAAAGAATTCAAGAAATTAGGCTTTGAAAAAACAAATAATTCAATTTTAAAAATGGGGTACAGACCTAAACATGATTTCAAAACAGAAGAATCTCAAATATCAGAGAAACACTTAAAGAAATGTTCAATATCCTTAGCCACCAAGGAAATTCAAATAAAAAAAGACTGAGATTCCATCTTACACTTGTCAGAATGGCTGAGGTAAAAAAAAAAAAAAAAAAAAAAAAAAAAAAAAAAAAAAAAACACTGATGACAGCTTATGCTGGAGAGGGTATGGAACAAGGGGAACACTCTTTTACTGCTGATGGGAACTTACACAGCCACTTTGGAAATCAATATGGCAGTTTCTCAGAAAATCGGGAATCAATCTACCTTAAGACCCAGCAATACTACTACTGGGCATATAGGATGCTCAATCATACCCCAAGGACACTTGCTCAACTATGTTCATAGCAGCTTTATTTGTAATAGTCAGAATCTGGAAACAACCTAGATTGAGGACAACCAAAGAATGAATAAAGAAAATGTATGTTTACACAATAGAGTATTACTCAGCTGTTAAAAAACAACGACATCAGGAAATTTAAAAGCAAATGAATGGAACTAGAAAAAGTAAATCATCATGAGTGAGGTAACCCAGACCCAGAAAGATAAACATGGAATATACTCACTCATAAGTGGATATTAGCTATAAAGTAAAGGATAACCATGTTACAATTCACAGACTCAGAGAGGCAAGGCAACAAGCAGGGCCCAAAGGGGAGGCATGGATCTCACTGGGAAGGGAAAATAGAAGAGATTTCCTGGATGGATTGGGGGTTGGTAGGGATGGGAACTTGAGAGATTAGGTAGGGGGCTGGGTGGATGGGGAGAGTACTGAAAGAATTGACTGGAAGGGAGCATTTTGGGATCAGGTAGAAACTCCCATGAATCTACAAGGATAATCCCAGCTAAAAATCCTAGCAATAGTGGATATGTAGCCTGAACTGGGTTTCTCCTATGATCAGATTGGTGACTACCACATTGTCATCAGAAAGGCTTCTTCTAGTAACTGATGGAAACAGATTCAGAGACCTATAGCCAGACATTATGCCAAGCTTTGGGAATCCTGCTGAAAAGAAGGAAGAGTGGTTGTAGGAGCCAGAAGACTCAAGGGCATCACACGAAAACTCACATAAACAACTCACCTGGCTCATCGGAATTTGAACCAACAACCAGGAAACCTGCTTGGGACTGGCCCTCTACATATAGATGACAGTTGTATAGCTTGGTCTACTTGTGGGACTCTTAACAATGGGAGCAGGGCCTATCCTAACACTTTGGTTAGCTTTTGGGAAGCTATTTTTTCATACTGGGTTGCCTTACTCAGCCTTAATACAAGGGGAGGTGCTTAGTCTTACAGCAACTTGATATACCACAGTTAGTGTTTTTCTGGAATCTCCAGCTTGGCCCCAGTTCTTTCTCTCCAAACTCCACCCTCTCAGAAAAGCCTCCAGGAGTCCAGTTCCACATTCCTGGCAGCAGCAGTGCCTCCTCCCCCAAGGCTGCTAGTTGCTTAAGAACCTTAAGACCCTTAAGACCCATCTACAATGACTGGCACAAACCCAGTTTATAAGACCAGTCATTGCCCCACGCCTACAGGGTATTTAAGCCCTCTCCTTTAAAGGGGCATGTGATTTCTTTGCTTCTCCCTTCTATGACCTCAGCCTCATTCTCTGCAGGCTGGAGGACTCACCCAGGAGTGCGTTCCTCAAATACACCTGGCCTTTTACTTTTTCATTTGGTTTGAGCTGGCTTACTTCAGTGGAGAAACCTACTATGCAGGTACAGAATGCATATTAGTTAGTTGAAACCCATGGGAGGCCTGCCCCTTTCTGAACAGAAGCAGGAAG